TGTAGAGGTTGAAACCATTTAAAAACCTATTTACTGTCTTTAGAAAGAGCAGAAATCCTAGTCGAACTTTTGGATTTTTATTTTTAAAGAGTTTTATTTGGCATGCATTTCACTGTTAAAAATGCCCTAATGATCTATGCAGGGGTAGTTTGAAGCATATGAATTTGCATACTGTACTTGAAAATATATTTTATTTCAAAAATCACATTTTAAGAAAAAAGCAACTTACATTCCTGTATGATCAAGTTTTAAAAGCAGTTGGACAAGGCTGTGTAAAAGGGCACACTGCTCTTGTCCTTTGGCTTTTTAATTGTTCTTTGTTTTAACGAGTCTAAAAATGGTCTTCTTACCAGTGGTTCCCATAGTGCGTGAAAACAGACAACCCATGAATTCCTTGTCTGAACCGTTTTCTGATGCCGAAAGTCTGAGTTACAACGCCCCCATCAGGAGTTTATTTTCTTGACAAACTCTCTCCGAAGTGCACTGTCTGGGAATCCCCCTTTCTCTTCTCTCTGCCCACCCCGGTTACAGAGAGGGCACAGGAACACTGGATTCCCCGAACCCAGAAGTGGAACTCACTCTACGGGCCCTGCTTCTAAGCAATATTGGCAGTTAGGTATTTTAATGCTATAGTTCACCCACATCGTGGCTTAAATGGCCCTTCCAACTTGGTGTGGTTAGATATAGTTGCTTCCATGTGAAAATATATTTTGATTTCCAAAAGTCTGTTTTATACATATATGTGATCTACTTTTAGGTTATAGGGTTTCTGTAATTGTGTTGCACATTTATAATGCTAAATATCGAAATGCTAAAGCTAAGATGTATTTAAATAATTGTAATCGTTCATATAGCTAGCAATCAATACATTATGTGAGTGAGAGAATGATATTTATCTGAATAATAGCTTTCTCTTACATCTTTCTCCAAGTGCAGTCTGGACCCTCCCATGATTTTAAAATACAGTCAAACCTCAGTTCTTGAACGTCTCGGTTCTCGAACAACAATTTGGTTGTTGACCAAGTTGTTCATGGAAAAACATCTCAGTTGTCGAAGAAAACGTGGGGTCCCCAGGTCTACCTGACAACCCTTTCTTGCTGACACCTGTATGACCCATCACGCGTCTCTCCGGTGACTAACAGAAAAGGTTCAGTTTTGGAACAGATCTGTTCTTGAACAGTTTTCCAGAATGGATTAAGTTCGAGAACCCAAGTTCCTGTATATGAGAAAGAAATTGCGGGAAGGATTAGAGCAAATGTTTCTTCTTTTTTTTTTTTTTTAAGATTTTATTTATTTATTTTTAGAGAGGGAAGGGAGGGAGAAAGAGAGAGAGAGGGAGAAACATCAATGTGCAGTTGCTGGGGGTCATGGCCTGCAACCCAGGCATGTGCCCTGACTGGAAATCGAACCTGTGACGCTTTGGTTCGCAGCCCGTGCTCAATCCACTGAGCTACGCCAGCCAGGGAATGCAAATGTTTATTCTTAAACAGAGGTACAGTTGAACTGATTTTCTGATTGAAATAAAAGCATGTCTTAAAACCCAAAGCCATTTTTCTAGTGTGACTCGTCCTCTTTCTTTCCTTCCCATTTTTTTTCAGTGTAATGAGGCCCCCAAATTAAATGTGAAAATGTCACCTTAATATTTTCAGTAGAAATTATAGCATCATACTCATTTCTTTTGAAAATGCCAATAACATATATAGCAATTTTTAAACATAATGTGCGAAGGATCCTTGACTAGACACCATTGGGCCATCTCCCGTGAAATGTTAACTGATGAAAACAGGGGTGTTCTTCAGGTCTTTGATGTGTCGCCCTCATGCCCCATCTCCTGGCAGAGGGAGAAAAACAAATCTCTTACTCCCCGGAACAACTATTAGGTGTTACTCCTCTCTGTTGGCTTTTTTGCCACAGAAGAATGCCACACGGAAAACTTCCAGCCGCGACCAAGACGCGGGAGAGCAGGTGAACTTGGGGGAGGCGAGGGTGGTCTTGACCCCATCATCCCGTGTAATACGACTTTCCTCATGCGCCCTTTCTCATGAAATGAAACTTTCAGCAACAAGTCAGTGGCGGAACTTGGATCCGGATTCAGAATGCCTGCCTCTCCGTCTCGTATTTCTTTTTGTGACTCTGTCTAATCCTTTCGGGGAAGTTTTCAGACCACCTCTGCCAAATCCCAGGCCAGCTGGAATCCCGGCCAGTCTCCTTGAAACACCGTGTAGGGTCCTGGCCGCTGGAAGCGTTCAGGTTTACATTCTCAGGTTGTTGTGTTTTTTTTTTTTAATTAAAAAATACCTTGGCTGAACAAAGAATGTCTCACTCTCACTACCCTGACACCTTCTGCCGCAGGATCTGGTTTTGCGCACAGGGTGTCCATGTCTGTTGCTTCTTCCAGGAACTCCCCCGGGGAAACCACAGCAGCCACGCAAGTGCGTTTGCCCTCGGGCCGGCTCTGTGGGACCCGGAGCCCGATGAAGGGGGATGGGAAGTTAGGTTTCCGGTGGTGGCTGATTCATAGATGTCCAACTGTACTTTTCTTATAGGATCTGGCAATTGGAAGTGGTCACAACAGCCAAGCTATTCTGGACCTACAGATTTCCCTGCTCTTGAACTTGGTTTTTCTTGGTCCTTGTATTCCTTCAACTTCTATTCGCTTAGATGGTGCCCAAGCCAAGCCTCGTGCCCTTTCCCTCCCTGTCCTAGTTCAGGACCTCGGTGAGCCCACCCATCCAGGTCCCGCATGCAGCCTCAGAGGTCGCCTCCTGGTGTTCCCTCCCTCCATCCGCCGCCTCCGGAGCCCCTCCAAGGTGTTGGTCAGGCCGCACCTCTGGTGCTCACACACCATCCTGCATAAAACTCTCAGGCCAGGCGCGGTCAGTGCCGCACACGGTGGTGCTGCGCTACGATTCTGATGACTCTCGGTCACACCCTGGGGACCCAACCTGCAGTGGCTGCGGTTCCCGAGGCCCGTGGGGACCCCTGTCACTCAGCCTCCTCCTCCTCCTCGGCCGCATCAAGAATGGGATAAGAATAAGAACAAGGGCGTTTTATCAGCTTCTGTCACTCTCCCTGTTGCTGATGGGGTGATTACTCCTAATGAAGGACGATGGGCCCTGGAGGGGGTCAGGGTACGGGACAGCCGGTGCATTCTGCCACACACGCACGGCCGGCCCCGAGAGAACGCCCTGGCAAGGAAGCGGAGATATCAGATCTTCTGTCCTGCGGGTTTCACTGACCCGAGGCCACAGCAGAACAGCTCCCTCCCTCCCGTCCGCCTCTGCCTGGGCCTTCGAGAGACTCTGGCTCTGTACTGTGACCTCTCAGTGAACCGTGCCCAAGAAGAAAAAAAAAACATTTTTATTAGGAAAAAGTACAGCCTTTCTGGCAGTGTGTGCGCCCGTGTGTGGGAGAGACAGCGAGAGTAAACGAGTACTTTATGGGGGCGAAGGAAGGGTTTTGCATTTCTTGTAGCCCACGAGACCCTCAGGCCACATCTGCCTGCAGAGTCACCGCCAGAGGGTAGCATGACTTGGGTCTTTAACTTGTTCAAGGATGGCTTGCTGGGTGTCCAGCCCGCGGCCCACAGGCTGCGTGCAGCTGAGGATGGCTGTGAATGTGGCCCAACACAAAATCGTACATTTATTTAAAACATTCCGAGACTTTTTTGTGTGTGATTACGTGTCACAGAGTATGTCATCTGTGGCCCGAGGCAAGTCCCCTTCTCCCACTTGGCCCAGAGACGCCGGAAGGCTGGGCGCCCCTGCAAGTTTGTGGGACCCTGCGTTCCACCTTCCAGAGCAGCAGAGGGAGTGACGGAGCCTTTGGGCACAGCCGATGGGAGGGTCAGGTTTGGCTCCGTAGGTTTCCTTCATTTGGCAACATTGTGAAGGCCACGTGCGAGCGCGAGCGACAGAAGCAAGCACTGACTTTGATAACGCGTTTCACACAAAGAGGAAAATGAAATAACCGGAAATAACTTTGGGGGGGGGAGTATAAGAAAACGAAGCCAGAACAGGCCAGGACTCATTGACACTGAATGAAGTTTAAGGAAGGCAGCCCGATTGACAAGAACAAGACTTTGTTTTCCTTCTCTGACATGTTTGCTGGAGTTGCGGTAGTTTTTGCAGGAGGTAATTACGGTCTGGGGCCCTCAAGTCAAAGAAGAAGTAGCCTGTGTAGGGAAAGGAGTTCTGAGGTGAGCGAGAGGTGGAAGAGCGAAACCTGTTTCCTTGGTACACGCTTTCAGCAGATGATGTAAGGGACAGAGGGGAACACTGTCCCATGGCCACAGCTGCACCAGGAGGAGCGGCGTGGGCTCTCACAGTGTCCCTCCGCCTTCTCCAGCCTGGGGCTGCCCGGGGCCGCTCTATCCCCTCTGACGCCCTTGACCTCGGCCAGCCTGTCCTTCCCGGTCTCTCACCTGCTCTGCCTCGTCACGCTTTTCTCTTTTTGCCACTCTTACCTAAGCCCTCAGTGTCTTCATTTACGTTTTGTAGAGAGACCACAAATTGTAGGATAAGAAAAGGAAGGGTTTTTTTTTAAGCCATTTGATGTAAATCAATAGGGAATTTTCAGCAAAAAAAAAAAAGAACATAGAAATGATTGGAAATTTGGTCACACTTAATGCCCGGTATCTGTGGAGCATAGGAGACCCAGTGAATCAGATCTTCCTGAACAAATTATTTTTATTTTTTTAAGATTTTATTTATTTTTAGAAAGGGAAGGGAGGGAGAAAGAGAGAGAGAGAGAGAGAGAGAGAAACATCAATGTGCATTTGCTGGGGGCCATGGCCTGCAACCCAGGCATGTGCCCTGACTGGGAATCGAACCTGCGACACTTTGGTTTGCAGCCCGAGCTCAATCCACTGAGCTACGCCAGCCAGGGCTACAAATTATTTTTCATTAATAGTATATAATCTTTTAGCTGTTGTAAACCAGCTTTTAGATAATCACTTAATCCTGAAGGGAATGTATCATCACATGTCCTTTTTCTTACAGCTTCATCTATTACAAGTCTACCTGTCCGAGAAGAATGGCTGACAAGATGCAGCAATTTTTCCTTGGAGAGCCATAACATATCACTGACTGGTAACTGTGTCATATTTCAAATACTACAGTGCTGAAATAAGTTTTTATTTTTCATTAAGGCACCGCCTATTGCTGTCTAAAGTACTAACCCTGGCTTGTGGTCCAGTGGGACAAGCACGCCAGTCCCGGATACAATGACGGCGTCTGTCTAGCACATACAGTGCCATGTGCTGTTGGCTCTGTCGTAGAGAATGGGGGCCCAATGCTATGCAGTGTGCTCTGCAGGGAGGAGGCAGCCGGTCCAGATGGGGAGGCTAAGACAGGCTCTTGAGGAAGGGGACGCTTTCCTCACTCCATGGGAGGAGAAGAGGGTTCAGGCTGATTTGCAGATGCTCCTATTTTTTCACCCGTTCTCGCTGGTGTATCCATCAGATCCCTCTGCAGTGAAAGGAGAGTTCTGGTAGCTAGTGAAAGAGACCTTCAGGCAGATCAGGGAAAGAGGCTGATTGATGGTGAGTCAATGACGATGGTCCGAACTCTGCGGGAACGCTCAGTCCACTTCCTCTTTGCAGGGTTTTGGAGGCTAGTGTTTCAAAAGGAATTGCAGAGTTCTTTCACTGAGTGGGAGGGGTCCTCTGTTTCGGTAACGATGGTAACGGCTGAATTAGCATTTGAAAGATCTTAAACCTGTTTGTTGAGTCAACAACAACTTTTATCCAATTACGTGTGCAGTCGTTGTCCTCCTGTCTGAAGAACAGTTTCCGTAGTTCTGTTGAACGGGAATAAAAGGTGGGCTCTTCCCCCCTAACCCCCCACCAGTTGACTCCAATGGGGTGTCTGCTCTGAGCTTTTTTTGTGGAACATTTTTATGGCATTGTACACCTTCTGTTTGTCCCCAAATATCCCTATTCTAATATTTACAATCTATTCTTATTTGTAGAAAGGAATTGCCACACTCCTGCGTGACTTGCTTTTTTACTTCTCGCATGTTGAGATGTTTGAGAGAGATTCGTGTGAAAAAGTTTGTGAGTCTTTCCAGCCGCCCGTGGTTTGATCCGCTGGAGAATGTTGGCAGCATCCCACCCTCCTCTGCCCAGTCTGGCCGGCGCCCCCGGGGAGCCTGGTGCCCGGGGCGACAGCAAGAATGGACTTTTTAGTTGACGCAAAGCTGGTTATTTGCCTACCTAACCTGTTTGCAGGGTGTGACCCCTGGCCACTCTTTCATTCTGCAGCTGCTGTTAAGACCAGCATTCCCACTGTTGTGAAGATGTCACGTGCTCACGATTTACTGCTTTCTTACCTTCACCTTGACCCGATACTTTTTTTTTAAGATTTTATTTATTTTTAGAGAGGGAAAGGAGGGAGAAAGAGAGAGAAACATCAATGTACGGTTGCTGGGGGCCGGTGGCCTGCAACCTAGGCATGTGCCCTGACTGGGAATCGAACCCACGATGCTTTGGTTCGCAGCCCATGCTCAATCCACTGAGCCACGCCAGCCAGGGCTTGACCCGATACCCTTTAGTCAGACCATTTTCTCTCCCTCCCGGGCCGCCGACCTTCGGCTTGCCCCTAGTTAGGAGCAGTCCCTACTGCACGACACAGCTCAGCCTTGCTGTCCACTTCCACGCACTGGTCTGCCCACTCTCCTCTCCAAGGCCCCCGAGAGCGGGCGTCCCCCTCCTTGTAAAAGAAAGGCCTGTTTCTGTTTGATGTTGAGATGCTTGCAGATCCAGAGTTGAGACCATTTTCCCCAGGGCAGTAGGCTTTTTGAGTCAAATTTTCCCTTCAGCTCAGATTTGCTTTTATTTGACGGAAGAAGAAGTGTGCCGTTACTCACTCGGAAATGCTGGCTCTCTGAGCTCCGACTCAGGTGACTGCGGTTACAGCGTTGCTCCGGTGGCCTCCTCACCGGACAGCGTGGTTCTGGGATCCGCCTTCCCTGACATACAGAGTGTAAATCTGAAGATGAGTTTGTGTTTACTGGGGGCCAGAAGCTTTATTCTTTCGCCTCGCACTAGGATTTTTAACCCACTCTACAAATGGAACGTTTTCCTGTTGTTATAGCACTGTTTATTGGGTTTGCCCCACTATTGATTATATCATTACTCAAGTTTGTCCGCAAATGGGTGCTGCCAGCAGTTATTTTTAATGCCATTTTCCGTTCCCTCTGGCCATTTTAGAAATGCATCTCTGTAGGATAAACATTTAGGATAAAATGTTTCTTGTAGAGAAGCTCAGATGGAATACATGAGCTGCAAATTTTGGACTAACATGACAGCCACGGCCAGTTCTTCTCGTATGAACTCACCCAGAGGTGCTACAGTCCCGTGCCTGGGAGAATGGAGCACCTGACCTTTGATTCACGAAAGACTGGCTGGTTGTTATTTTACGTTTTGAAGCTGCTGCTAATCAGTTACTTAACAGGAATACGGTGTTGACCACGCGGTCATGTGCAGCCATGCATTGCTTCAAATCCTGGATATGTTCTGAGAAGTGTGTCATTTGGCAATGTCATTATTGTGCAAAAGGGCGCACTGACGCACACCCAGACTGGATGGCCGCCTCCACACCCAGGCTATCTGGTCCACCACCATTGTACCTGCAGTCCGTCGGTCATTCATGGCCCAAGAAGTCATTACACAGCGCGTGACTGCATCTGTTTCTACATGAAAATTAATTGAATCCCTGTAACAACCCTATGCAGTGGGTATTATTATTATTCGTAATTTGCAGATCAGGGGAAAGAGGCACTTTAAGAGAGACAGGAACTGACCAAGGTCACAGGTGGTGAGTTGGAGCTCAGCCTTGAACCCAGGTGGTCCGCACCAGGGGCCAGGCCGTTGCCTGTGCTGCCACGCAGCAGCGCTGCCCCTGCTCGGTCACAGTATCTTCCAGTAGCATCACTGAAATAATTACACCTGCGTTAGATACAAAGTTTTAAAAAACAACGAAAAGAAAGCTGTTTTAAATGTCTAATTTATAAGTGGGTTTGTGTTGGAGACTACATTCATGGAGATAATGAATATATTGTGAAGGAATAATTGACAGAAGAGTAAATTTTTTTCCCTTCTGATACCATTGTGTTTTGAAAACTACCCTTTGATAAGGGACTCTTTTTACATCACTGCACTGAGTTTTCCATGGTCAGTATTTGGAATGCAGTTTGCTTACACCAGCTAGCGTGTTTCTTTATTGTTCCCTCTATTAATTTTTCCCTTCCCTCTGCATATTGAAGTGTTTGGCGTCTCAATCAGTGTGTTACAGTTTAACCAGAGGTTAAAATGAGAACACTGGCGGACAGGTTTCGCCACTCTGATAGCGTGGGTGCCGGCCCTCCCGTGGCACAGTGCATTCACCCCGTGGAGATGTGAGCGGCTGGCCCAGCGTGGTGCTCGGTGCGGGATGGATGGAGCTAGACGGAGCAGCCGTGGGCGAGGGACACGTATGTGGATGAAGGTACAGAGTGAAATTTGAAAAGGTTAGTTAAGGTCAGGAAAGGTGGCTGTCCCCTCAAGGTGGGAAGCCACGTGATTCAACGACCCCCTGGAGGTTAGTGGTGAGTGAAGAAGCTCACTACCAAGTCAGCTGCCGGCGCCGCCGAGGGACAGGCCCGGGCCTCCCAGCAGGAGTGGACTGGGGAACCTGACGGGGTCTCATCCCACCTTTCCCCTTCCCTCCTGCTGCCCTTCGCATCCCCCCAGTCTTTCAGCATTAGGTCAAAAGCTACATCCTTGGTAAAGCACATATCCAGAAATACTGCTTCTGTGTCTCTGATACCTGTTTAGCATATTTTATTAATTTTAATGGCATAAGTAAAAACAAGCTCATTTAAAAATATTGACACATGATCTTATTTCCATCAATATAGTAACTCAGAGAACCTGAAAAGCTCCCGTCACAGGTAGGGAATATAAAATATAAAATATACAATGCAGGAAGCATTCTTTTAAACACTGAGCTAAGTACATAAAGAAGTCAAGACAATTTGCACCAACCGAAACTGGTAACTGAGACCTCAAACCTCTGAACTTATTCCCTTGAGTTTGTGGCCAGGGCACTTGAGTTTTTAGGAGCCACAGATGTAAGAACAAAGCCTCAAGTCTAGGCAAGGCAGCGAGCTGGAACTGGAAACCTCCTGAAACCTGATCCTTCCTGAGATAGAAACGCCGTGTGGAAGGTTTGACGTAAGGGGAAAAAATTAGCTGACCGCCACAAGGGGATGGGCAGGTGGAGGCTGGGTGTGCGTCCTCTGCGGCGGCAAGAACCCCAAACTCCCCTGATTAGTCACGGACGATGTCCCGCTCTGAGTGAGGGGCGGATCACACCTTTCCCTTACCTGCCTGCTGCAGGCGCTCCCAGCCGGTGGCGCAGAACCCAGCCTGAGGGAAAGCTCTGGAAAGCAGATGAAGAACATCTGTGGAGGGATGCATGGTCCCCCCAGGCTGTGCCATCCCCACCGAGGACCAGCTTCCGAGACAAACGGAAGGAACACTGCAGCAGCCGCAGCCCTGAGAGTGAGCTAAGGAGCAGTAGGAGTTGACCGTTCAGAACTTCAGATGTAGAACCACTAGGTAGGGACATAAAAGAAGAAACAGAAAAACATGAGAAAATAATATTCTGCTATCAAAAAAAAAAAAAAAGACAAAGTGCGTTTGAAAAAATGGCCAAACAGAACCAAATTTGTCAGAAGGAGGCGGCGCCCCTGTGAACACTGCCGCTTGCATCTCAGCCCTCGTTTCCTCTGTTCGGGGTGCGCGTGCGCCTGTGCCGGCGTCCCAGACACTGTAGATGTACTAGGCCGTGCTGTTTGGGTGCCTTTGTATTGCTGGTGGAAACCCAGATGTTTTGTTCTGAAAGTGCTTCTTGTGATCCCCCAACACTGGTTCTCGGAGATGTAGCCATGTCACGTGGAGCTAGCTTGTTTTTTTAACACGTGTGCACAGTAGAAATCTATGAGCTTACTTGGATATTTCTATCTTCATGGACCCTTGTATATTTGAATTTTTCTCTATTGTAAACCATGCAGCAATGAATACTTTTATCTCTCTCTCTTTCTCGCT